TATCCATCTACGTTGTCCTGGGTTGGAGACTTCAGCTTATGCAAATCACTGCGGAGTGGAAAGGAATCGGTTACTTTTTAAGCAGTCAAGATGCTGAGAGATCGGTCCCAAAGAAGCCCTTCTACCTCATTTAACCTCTCCCCCTAACTGAAAGCTTCAAGGAACCAGACTTCCTTTTATGAGCTCTTTGTGTTCAAGTCAGAACACACTTTTCCTTAATTACCGCTTATCTTTGAGAATTGGTTTGAATCAAGAAGTGCTTCATCTTTATTTTTTTCAGAGGTGAAATGCAAACCATTCCCACCAAATCCTCCCCCACCCCCCCGTAGACACTTCTGTCTCCAGCAAGACTTCAGAGCAGTTCAGATCCCGTTTAACCCTTCACCAGGATTATGTACTGTGAGGGTCTGAAAATTCAACAGGAGTTGTGTGAAGGCTCCTGTAGATCTAGATGTAAGCTCAGAGGGCAGACACTTCCACGTCACAAAACTGGCCCTCATACCTGACAGCACAGAAACTACTCTGAGACCACAGTATCCAAGGTCCTTGGCAGTTCTGCCATGTCACAGCTTTTGGCTTTGGATTACCAGCAATTACAGTGTGGGAAATGCTGGACTAAACAGAAGAGGGACTATTTTTCCTATTCCACTGGCAACAAGTCCCACCTACTGCCCAGTTTTTTCATTAGCAGTAAATAAGTGGCCTGATTGCTAGAAGGAAACATTATGGCTGAGTATGCATCCGGACCCTCAGACTGGCAGTAAATTGCAAAACTGGTTTTTAGCAGCTGAAGTCACCGACTCCCAGAGACACGTTTGAGGCCTGGGTAAGTCAACGGCTTCACGTCTCCAGTGCCACCTTGTACGCCTCTTACTGGGACGGTGCACTCCCCGTGACAGAGGCCCAAGCTCCCCGCTCCTACAGCTGGCCTGGGCAGATAGTTTGGGTGATGAAGCACTCAACTCTTAGCAGGCTTAACCACCCCTTATCCCACATCTTCCCTTGAGCTCTGGCTGTTACGTACCCATCAGTGGGGTCCTCAAATATCTTCTGGAGCCCTGAGGAGAGACTGCCACTGACGTTTGGACTAGAGCTGTGCTCAGTGAAACGCCTCAGCTGCTGCTGTATCGGTGTAGGGTTGGTCATTGATTTGGTGATATCGGCAAGAATACGAGGCAGAGGTCCCAGTTTTGCCACGGTCGCCTGTAGGAAGGAATTTTCACCCTAATTGGACAACAAGCACCGCGACATCCGCCAGTTTTTTTGATAACGATGCACAGAGGCGGAGGGGTGGAGGTGGAAGGAAGGAGGGTGGGTGGTTGTGTGCGGGTGTGCCAGGACCGTAATGCAGTGTTACGGAGCAGCGTAACCACGGCGACGAGATGGATGGAGGAGACGAAACGGGGTGCAGCAGACATTGAGGAAAGAAAAGGAAATAGAAAAGAAATTAGGATTGACCCCCAAAAAATAAAAATCATGCTCAATAAAACAAAACTATTGCCATTCCAATGCAAAACTATCATGCAAAGCAAACTAAGACCAGGGTGGGTGAGGTCAAAGTGAAAACTACAGTATCTACTCATTAAAGGGCATTCACAGACTATAGATTCAGCTAGTGGGGGAAACTTTCCAGGCAAAGGGTGTCATGTGGTAAAGGAAACGCATGCCAACAGACAAGGGGATGCGGCATTCAGGGGGATCATGACAGAATTGCAAGGGTTGAGTGAGATGGGGAAAGGGAAGGTTTTAATTTTGTAAGCCTTTCGCTTTTGGCATCCTACGTTGATGCCTTCTTCTGTAGCACCCTGTTATCAAAAATTAAGGCATTCTTCCCTACCTAAAAGTGAAAAATAACTGCATGAAAACATCAACGATCCTCATCCCAACATTATCACATCAGCCTGGGATTAAATGTGTAACTTCTTGTTCAATTACACGTTAGCTCAGTGTCGGCCAGGCCTAGGATAAGAGCCGACCCCCCTTTGGGTCACTGGTGGTTGTATCATCTACAGGGCATCTTCAGGCTCTTGGGACCGCAGGAAGAAGGTGAAAGTGCTGGAGGTTTATAAGAAAATAAAACTCTGCTACAAAGACAATGTTCTTTTCAAAGATATCCTTATTTTTCTTGTAAGCAGGTATTCTGTCAGTTTGGCTTCAGAGAAAGGTCTCTTTACAGACGCTTTCGTATAGCACCACTTCTGTGTCTATTAAAATCTCTGAGGTGACTTCTCTCATCACTTCCCAGTCATTACCTACAGTAAAGCAGTATTGCAATGCAACTTTACCCCTTAATTCTCTTTTTAGCAAACCACTATACCAGCTCCCAAGGGCCTGCTAGGAAAGATCCATACGTCTCACCTATAGCAAGGGCAAAGCAGATCTGCTTCGACGGTTTATCCAGGTCTGGCTCCTCCCTTTCCTCACTGCCCAAAACATTTATGACAGTTGCATTCAGAGAGCAGCCCACAGTAACTAACACCAAGTCCAAAGATCCATTTGCAGTTCTAAAGACTGGAGCTGGGTTTCTCTTGACCTGATGTCTGACCAGCTTGGAGGGAGATGGCAGTGCTCCCTGCACTGGTGGGTTTACCCCAATTGGTAGAAATGGAGGTTCTGGTCTTTTGAGTGCTCACTTTGCCTTTTTTCCTGAGGCTGCTGGACCGGCT